TTAGTTCATAATATAATAAAAAGGAGTAGAAGCGAAATGTCTACTTCTGACGATGGAACTTTGCAGTTTTCTGGTAAGTACATATAATACAATAAATTTATTATTATTTTAAATGTCAAAAATAAAATAACTGCAACATTTCAAACGAGTAAAAAAAAATATACACTTTTTACATATTTGTATTTTTTATATAAATGAAAACGTGCAATTTTTTTCCTCCATATTAAAATAAAACGTATAAAATTATTAAAAATATTAACGAATAAAACGTTTCCATAAAAAAAAAAAAAAAATTATCCTGGCGTCAGTTCTTACATTCATTTATTTAAAAAAATTTATTTTTTTTTTTTATTGTGAGATTCATGCATCACATTTATTATATTAAATTACTATCGTATAAATATGTAATTTATTATTATTACTTTATAAATAAATGAAAAATAATTTAAAAAGTATTAAAAAAAAAAAAAAAAATTACAAATCGTAAAAACTGGTATTATGTAAAATAATTTATGAACGAATATAACGGGTTTTTTTGGTCCCCATAAAAAAAAAAAAGGAGAAGTTTGTGCTTGTAGCTGTTTTTTATTTTGTTTATTTATTTATTTATTTTTTTTAAATGTATTTTTTTATAAAATCAATGGAAGTTTTTTATTACATAACGTTTTTTTATAAGAAAAAAATTTTTTAATTCATTTTTTTGTAATGTAACAACCACCACCATTGAAACGAAATAAAAATTAAATTCGCAGACTTTTTTTTCTTTACGTTTTCGTTTTGGCTTTAAAATATGTCATTATTATTATTATTATTTTTATTGTTTTTTTTTTTTTATGCAAAAAGCAAAAAAAAAGTTTTATTTTTAAATATTTTATTAATAATATATCTATTTTTTCTATTTTTTTTTTTTTTTTTGTAATTTATAAGCATCGTAAACGTATTTTTATTATTATTATTATTATTTCATTTTTTTTTTCGTTTCGTTTTTTTCACAACAGTTGTGAAGTATTATAATTTACTATGATTTTGTGTTGTTCATTCGTTGTGAATATATCGTCGGGGTTTTTTTTGTTTTGAAAAATCGTACAAGAAACTCGAATTTCGATTAATCTCTGACGTAGCATTAAATAAAATAAATTTTTTTTTTTTTTTTTTGGTGTTGTTTTGTTTTTTTGTTTTGTTTCGTTTTACGTATTTATATTGAAGTAAAAAAAAAAAAAAAAACAGGTAAGTTGAGAAAAACTTTTTTTTTTTGTATATATATATATATATATATATATATAATAATAGTTTTATTATTAATGTTTTCATGCATGTTTTTTAAATAAATAGATTTAAAATGGGGGTTTTGTCAATCGGTTTTAACGGTTGATTTTTCCTCAGTACGTTCATAATCTAAATTCAAAATGGCCGACGTTAAACTTACATTCGTTAAAAAAAAATGGGAGAGAAAATCTTAAATGCGCTTATCTTGAACGTAAATCGTTTTTTTGTTTTTCATTTTTCATTTTTTTCATTAGTTTAATTATAAAATTTTGATAAAAAAATATTTTCATCCCGTATATTATCGTACTTTTTAACGTAATTTTAAACGAAACACGATTTTAATTTCTGATTAAAATTTATTGATGATAATAATTAAAAAAAAAAATCCTTAAAACGTCGATTGTGTAGTTATGTCAAATTAATAATAATTAATTTAGAATTTAGTTTTTTTTTTTTTTTAGTGATTTTCCCCGCCTATTTTTTAAAAAAAAAAAGAATTTTTTAAATTAATTAATTAATTAATTAATGATCCCGGCTTTATATAATATAATTGTAAATTAATTCGATGATATTAAATTTTGAAACCATTAATGGCTAGTTTTTTTTATTTCAGAAATATAAATTTTTTATAATGGATTTTGGAGAAGATGAAAAAGCAGGTGGAGAAATATTAAGATCATTATTAACCACAAAAATGGATAATAATACATTGGTGAGTTTATTGTTGATTGCTTTTTGTTTCGATTATTTCCTTTAATTTTTTAAGGAAGTTATGAAATTAATTTCTCTGATAAACATTCATCTTATCTTTTTATTTTTTTTTTAGGGATCATATATCAGTGGTTGGCCAATGGTGGAAACGAAAACACAACCTGAAACTTATCAAACCGAGGAACATGTTATTTGGCAAATTGAGCCAAACATTGAAAATAAACAGGAATTTGTTAGCGATAATCATAATAATATAATACAACAAATTCCATTAACATATCTTACATCGAATGATAAAAATATAAATTGTAATAATAATAATAATAATTTGAGAACGATTGTGAAACCTATAACATATGTTATAAATCCTAATAATGTATGTGATTTAAATAAATATTGTGATGGTAATCAAAATGATGGAAACATTATATTAAACCAACAACATTCGATAGTTTTAGTTAAAGACTTAAGTTTGAACATATTGAAAACAAACGATTGTTTGGAAGTGGAAGAAAACAAATTTGATGGAAATTTCCTAACTAAAATATTGGGTCAAAATAAAATAAATTCAAGTTCTATAATATTAACAAATGAAAATAAAGATGTTATAAATAATGGGGCAGGAGTGGTGGCATGTGAAAAAAAAAAAAAAAAAGAAGGAAATGAAATAAAGTGCCGTTTGAATGACGATGATGCTAATAATAAAAATAATAATAAGGGAAGAATAATAAATTTTGATAATTTATTAGGAAAAAATAAAATAATGGAATCTGAAAATAATAATAATAATAATAATAATAATTTAATCAAATCAAAAGGTGAAAGAAAAGTAAGTGGAGCGAATAAAAAAACAATTAATTTTTTTTTTTTTTTCTTATTATTATTATTATCGGGGATTCTTTATGAAATTTATGGTATTTCAATTAAAACTCATTAAAATCATAGTCAGGTTGCAATTTTAATTGCAAAATAAAAAAACAATGAAGTTTCAAAAAAATTTTTTTATTGCATTATTAAAACAAAATTTATGTATTTATGGGTAATGGGTAATTATTTATAATTTTGTTTAAACAAAAAAAAAAAACCGCTTCAAAGGTATTAAATTCAGGTTTCCTCGATTTCAAAATCATTCAATAGTATTATAGAGAGATATTGTTCTCGTGGAAAAAAAAAATTTTTGTTTTAAACAATCAGCGATCATAATTATTAATATTATTATTATTATTTATATTTATTTGGGCGTTAAGAGTTTATATTCGTTACACGTAACAAAATGGTTCTTTCCCTTATATTTACTAACGACCTAAATTTTTACTACATGTGAACGTTTTCTAGCTTCTTTTTCCATAGAAAAAAAAAAAAAAAAAAATTAAAATAATAATAATAATTTACCAAATAAGTTTTTTTAAGGTATTAATAAATTTTAATAAAAATTACACAGTTATTTTAATTACTCTTTGACGGTGTTAATAATAATAATAATAAGTAGGCAGTTTTATAATTTTTTCTTTTCTGTCTGATAAAATTAACGACCTGGGGGTCATGACCCCGCGTTTTAAAATGAATTTAGAGCAGAGGAATAAAAAAGAATTTTAAATATAAATAACGTATATTATATACGGGGGCGTTAAGAAAAAAAAAAAAAAAAAAAAATTTGAACATAATTTTATTATAATGACTTAGTTAGTGTAAGGTGAGCCAAGTGTGTGATGAAAAAAAATTTATTTTTATTACTTTTTATTTTTATTTATTTATTAATTTTTATTTATAATTATCATAACTCGTTTTGCGGTTATTACTTTTTCAGACGGGAACGTGTAAAAAACCATTGAGAAAAAGGAAAAATTCAAAATTGAATAAGAAAACTCTCGCGAAGATTCTACCGAAAAAATCAAATCCGTTGAAAAACGTGAAAGGCGTTGGAAAAACGGAAAAAATCGGGAATGACGTCATTAACGACGATGTCGATGTCGATGTCGATATGGCGGAAAAAAATCTTTTCGAATTGACTAAATTAGAAGATAATGTTAATGAAGTGATGGAAAGATTGAAAATCGGTTGCGATTGTTCCGATACAAATTGTTTCGAAGTAAGTTGAGTTGCCTTTTGAATAAAATGATGACTGCACATCATCATCGACTTCCTACTTACTTATGTATGTATTAATTATTAAAAAAAAAAAAAAAAAAAAAAAAATGAAACAGGGACTAGATCCAGACAAAGTTTTTAGACATAGGTTAAACATAGCGGATTTAACAAAAGCCGAACACGACATGTACCTAATGGGTGTCATAATGGCGTCCGTACAGAATTTGGAGGAAACCTGCAGGCACAAAGAAAGAATAAGAATAAGATCTTGTTATGCTTATCAGGTGAGTATATTTAATAAAATTTTTCAAATACCGTTATGTGCACCTCCTAGAGTATAAATCATACAACAATCTCGTCGTAAAACCAATTTAATTTCTTTTAATGATAATAATAATAATAATAATAATTAAGAAGTGAAATTAACGACAAGTTGTTGTTTTTATTATTATTATTATGACATAATAATAATAATAATATTATAAAAGTCTGGGAATTATATAATTACATATTAAATTTTTTTTGATAAATACCTCCTCGTTTTGGCATAAAAATTTTTTCCAACTTGTCGTCATTTCGATTTTATTATTATTATTATTATTATCATTTTTTTGGTAAAATCGTTTAATTATGTTAATGAAAGAATTGTCGATTCGCCTTAATCGCTCAAGGCGTAAAATAATTTAAATAATTTTTTGTCTCTGCGAATAATTTTCAATGTGTGAATGTTTTTTCGGGATTAATGTTCGAGATTGAATGTTTACGGCACCTACATACACGCACGCACGTACGCACACACGCACACGCACGCAAAAAGAAATAATAATTTATTTAAAGTCAAATCATAATTAATCAAGGGTATATTTAGGGCGTGTCAAAGGCAAACGTACCCACTCGAACATATAAAAAAAAATAAGGTTCATCCTGTTAATAATAAATTCGTACGCGAATGGTCAACGACAACAACAAACGACAAACGACAAACAACTTAGACTTAAAAGACACTCACACGTTTCTTATGATATTCAACGTTTTCTTATTCGGCGGAAATTTATTTTTACGTGTTTCGCTTATTTACCCGAGTTTATTTATTATTTATACGCATGTGTCGCATCATTCATTATTATTATTATTATTATTATTATTATTATTATTATTACTTTTCCGTATTACGTGAATGAAATTGTTGGTTGTTTCTTTGCGATTATTTTTGTTTTTAATATCATTTGTTGATAGGAAAATGCGAAAATTTTTTAAATTTGTAAACATTTGAACTTAAATTAATTTACGTCTTCTTCTTCTTCTTCTTCTTCCACTTCACAAATCTCGTTCGTATTTATTTATAGTAATTAGTTTTCTAATTCGAAAACGATTTGAAATTCGAAAATTTTATTATTATTATTGATTATTATTGATTATTAATCAGGATGATGATGTCGGTTGTTTATGATTATATGTAACGATACGATCTTGTGAGAAATTTTTTTTTTCTTTTTTTTTTTTTTCTCGCGATTCGAATTTCGATTTTTTTTTTTTTTTTCGATCGGTTGTTGTTATGACTTGTATTTTTTTAAATAATTTTTTTAATGAAAAAAAAAAGTAGAAAATGGCGTAATTATTTTTATTATAATTTTTTTTTTTTTATTAAACGCAAAAAAATAAAAAAAATTACCACGTCGTAAAATAATTTGAAATGAAAGTATTATTTGGAAAGTACAGGAAATGAGTAATTTTTTTTCTATTTTTTCTATTTTTTCTATTTTTTTCTATTTTTCGAAAATTATTTATTATTTTTTTTTTAAATAAAAAAAAAACCTCGAGAAAGATTTCATTGTCATAAATTATTATTATTATTATTATTGAATTTTCTCGCTGAACGCACGCAAAAAAAAAAAAAAAAAAAAAAAAAATTTAAAATAATTTCTTCGCGTTTGTCGTGCGATTTTATCATCTGAACGTTTTTCTTTTTTTTTTTTTTCTCGTTTTCGAATTTAGTTTTTGGGGTTTGCGGAAACCCCCCCCCCCCAAAAAAAAAAAAAAAAAAAAATTTCGAATCGAATTCTAAACAAAACGTTCGCTTATTATTTTTTTCGAATTTTCGAAATAAATTTTAAACGAGAGGGAAAATTTTTTTTTTTTTGTTTTTTGTCTTTTTGAGCCCTGAGGGGGAAAAAGGTTTCATTTCGAAAAAAAAAAAAAAAAAATTTTCTTTCCGGTCGATTTTATCATTATAATTATTATAATTATTATTATTATTATTATTATTATTATTATTATTATTATTATTATTATTATAATATTACGCAACTACTGACAAACTGAAACTTATGGCAGGAGAGACAACACGCTTGATTTAAAAAAAAAAAAAAAAAAAAAAAAACGTCTCTTAATGATTTTATAACTATTAATAAGTCAGTTTTTTTTTTATTTACAACTCCATCTTTGTTTTTTGTATTATCATTATCATTATCATTGTCATTATTAACATTTCGATTATTAAAATATGTACGTGCATGTCCTTATATTATTATTTTTCTCTCTTCTCGCACGTGCTTGTGCGTGTGCGTGTGCGTGTGCGTGTCTAAAATTTAAGTTTTTGAAATTTTTATTAATAATAATAATAATAACGTCAAAGTAAAAAAATTTAATTTGTAAAGCATTTCATAAAAAAAAAAAAAAAATATTATTCTTGTGCTAGTAACGGTAGTCTTGTCTTGTCTTCACACTTGACAGATGTTTAAATGAAGAATTAAAAGGGGGAAAAGCGGAATGGGGGGGAAGTCAAACAATGGCGGTAAATTTTTCAAAAAAAAAAAAAAAAATTAAAAAAAAAAAGGTCAAGTAGCAGGTTTTTTTTTTTTTTTTTAATACGGTGTTGTTGTTGTTGTTGTCTGTTGTTGTCTGTTTTCGAGATCTGTTATGCCAGTTGGTTTTGGAAAATTACGGTGTGCGTGTGCGTGTGTGTGCCGATAAGAATTTTACACGTGGTTGTTATGATAGATACCCATTAGAACAAAAGATTAAATTATTAAATTTTTAAAAAAAAAAGAGAGAAAAGAATAGAAATAAATTGTTTCATTTATGTTTCAGGGTAAAAAAGTATGTCTGACGGCATTTCTTTATTTACAACACGTGACACTCTATCAAATGAAAAGGCTACGGAGTCATTTGAAAAATCACGGGGTGTCACCGAGAATCCACGGGAATCGCGGAAGGAAACCCGCCAACACGTTTTCCCTGGACATTTATCATTGCGCGACGAATTTCGTACAGGATTACATAGAGAAACATTGCGTGAAAAGCGTACCGAATTTCACGACTTTTTCCTACGGCAAAACCAAAACGAATTGTCTGGGTAATACATTATCCGGATCGAATGGTCACGCGACAATTTCGAAAACCATGATGAAAAAAACGACGAAAATGAAAATCCCCAACAAGATAACGTCGTATCATTTGCCGTCGGAATGCACGAAGAAAACCGTTCACAAAGAGTACAAATCCTTTTGCGAAAATTTAAAACCTAGTCAAAAAGCAATGAAATATTCCACGTTCACGAGTTTTTTACAAAAGCAATTTCCAAACGTTAAATTTTCAAAAGTGGATAAAAAAATAAATGGACAAGTGGAGAAAATTACGTTGTCGCAACATCAAGAAAGTGAAAGAGGGAAAAGCGCGAACGTGAAAGATGGTAAGGAGGAGAAGGATAATCAAAAAGATAATTTTTCGCAGACGACGACGTCGCCGACGCCCCCGCAACAGCAACCGCCCATTTTATATTATCCGACGAAAACGATTCAGGTGACAACACAAAATCCGACCCTTGTATTATCCACAGAGGAAAATTCACCACGGGTAGTTGTTTACAATAAGACTCAGGCGGTGGCGACGGCGGCGGCCCCGGCGGCGATCGTTAAAATGGATGAAATGGGAGGACGAAGCGACGAAGGAGGAAGTAGTAGTGGTGGTAGTGGTAGTAGTGGTAGTAATGGTAGTGGTAGTAGTAATAGTAGCAATAATGAATTACAAATGGATTTCAGGTTTTCAAATCGGATTTTAATAGATGGTCAAATATACGAAGGTGAAACGTGCGAAAACGTTTGCGAAGAAGAAATGTACGCGACGGATAACGTTGCGTAAATGTCGTTACTCCCCACCACCACCACCACTATTATCATTATCATTATTATTTTTTTATATCATTATGTATACTATTTTATAATAATAATAATAATAATAATAAAATTTATTATTGATTTTTTGTGTTGGTTATTTACTTAAAAAAAAAATTTATTAATTACCGTATGATAAACGTTTGTTTTTAAATACGTGTTTAACTTATGGAATCGTGAAAAAATTTTTTTTTCGCGCGCGGGATCCGCGGATTTCGGATAAAAAATAATAATAATAATAATAATAATAATTTTTTTTTTTTTATGATTTCTTCCTGTTTGCCGTGGGCAAAGCAAAAAAAAAATTAATTTGCTATCGTTAATTGATCACCTAAATTTTTTTTTTTTAATTACACGTTTTGCAAAAATTAATAATAACGTAATAAATTTTTGGGAACCTGTTTTTTTTTTTCTTTAATTTGTTGTAAATAATAATAATAATAATAATAATTAGTGAATGTTTTTACACAATTTGATTTTTAAATAATGAAATAAATATTCCAAAATAGGAAATGGAGAGAGAGAGAGAGAGAGAGTTTAACTAATAACGTTGCGACACCATAAAAAAAATGTACGCGAATATACGTCATTCGATTGAAAAAAATTTAAATGAATTTAAACGTAGTTATTGAATGAATGAATGATTGATTGATTGATTGATTGGTAGTCGTAGTGGTATATATGCATTCCATTAAAGTTTTCCAATCGTGAAAATTCTGTAATCGTGTTTACGAGTTGGAGGATTAGTGAAGTTTTTAATAACAATTTGAAATAAATTATTATCCCGATTTTTTTTTGTTTAAATAAATAAATAAAAAGTTTGTTTATAATCATTAAAATGTCTTCTTTTCAATAATAATAATAATAATAATAATAATAATAATTTATTTTAATGCGTCGTACGAAGGGGGAAAACAAACTACAAACTCCAGTCGTCCATATTTTTTTTTAGATTCTTAAAATACTTTATGTAAAAAATTTTTTTTATTTTTATGTTTTTTTGCGTGTTTTTACTACTGCTATTATTATTATTATTATTATTATTACTAAAACGTCTGGGTTTGGTTTAAAAATTGACTGTTTTCCCCTACCCCTCCCCTTACCTTCCCCTCACTTCCCCCTTCACGTAATTATTATATTTATTTAAATTATTTATTATTTTTTTACGTAAATAACGGTCGTCGTTGTAAATTTTTATAAACAAAACAAAAAAATGTCTTCTGCTTTTTTTTTAAAAAAATGTTTTGGGATCTCAATTAATCCTCAACCTTTTCATTTTTGCTATTTTGCTGTTTTTTTTTTTTTTGTTGGGGGGAAGGAAAGGTGGAAATATAACAATTGTTAAAAGGAGGAGGGAAAGAAGGCGGAGTGGGAGGTGAGAGGGGGTAGGTTAGGGGGAGGAGACCGCATCGTAAAAGTTACCTTTTTAAAAAAATTGTTCAGCAACAAAAAAACTAATTTTTCGACAACGAAACTTAAACAACAACATTATGTTGTTGGAGTTTAGAAAAAAAAATGATTGTTTACGTTTCGTTCGTGACTTTTAATTGTGTATTAAATTGTTTTAAAAAAAAAAAAAAAAAAAAAGAAACGTTAAACCACGAGCAAAATTTTTTTTTTTTTTAATTATTATAATTATTATTATTGTTGTTGTTGTTGTTGTTGTTTAAAATTTTTTTTTGTTTTAGTTCGTTGTTGTTGTTGTTGTAAAAAATCCGAACAATCGAAATATGTTAATGAAATGTTTTTCGAGTTTTTTTTTTCTATTTCAAATTAGTTACCCCAATAATTAATGAGTTGTGTGTGAAGTTGTTGTTGTTGTGGTTGTTGTTGTTAACCATTTAGTTTTTTTTAGTAAATTTCGTACGACGACGACGAAATCGTTTTTTTATTAATAATAATAATAATAAATAAATTTTTAGGCGGTTTTTTTTTTTTAACTTGTTGTTATTATTATTATTTTAAAGGTGAAATCTCGTTGTAAAAAAACATTATCGAACGTGAATTATTTTAACTTTATTATTATTATTATTATTATTATTATTATTATTTACAATTATTTATTTATTTGTTATTATTTCTTTAAGTACGAGTCGATGTTATAGGAGGAAGTAAAAAAAAAATTCTGTAAATTATTGCCGTCGCCATTTTTATAAAACGGTTATTTTTTTTTAAAATTGTATTTCGTACGTTTTTTTTTTTTAAGGGGGGCTAGGAGGGGAGGGGAGGGAAGGAAACGATGTTATTTAACAGTTGTATGTTTAAAAAATGTGTTTGTGCGTGTACGCGTGTGATTTCTGTTACAAACGAACGAACAAACGGATGATATTTCGAATTTAAAAAGATGTTTGTTTGTTTGTTTGTTGATTTTAAAATCGTTTGTTTTTATTATTAACGTTGTGTTTTTTTTTTTTTTTGGAAAAAATGTAAAAACACGTTATCGAATATATTGCTGTCGGTTAGAAATTACGATTTTTTAGGGGGGAAAGATGGGGGGAGGTTTAAAGGGGGGAAAGGGAAGAAAACCAAAATTTTTTTTAACTTTTGTTGTTTTTGTTTGTTTTTCTTTTTTTTCTTTTTCCCCAGATATAAAAAAAAAATTTAGAGGAAAAAATGGAATTTAAAATTATCGACATCTTATAAATTTTTGTTGTTGTTGTTGTTTGTTATCAAGGATTTATTGATAAGAATTATTCGCGTGCAATTAAGTTACTGTCACGAACCAGTCGAGAATTTTTTCTTATAAATTTATAATCAGGGATTTGTGTTTCCAAACGTATTCGTCTTGTTTTTTACGGGGGGAGGGGAGGGGAGGGTGGAAAGGTTTAAATTACAGAGTACAAATCAATCTAATGACGTTTATTTTTTTATGTATGTGTTTCAATTAAAAGGATATAAATAAATAAATAGAAAATGAGAAAACAAAATTTGACAAATTATAACAATAGTAAAATATTAGTGGAAATACCATTGGGTTAGTAAAAATAAAATTAATTATTTTTTTAAATAATTTTATTAGGGGGGGGAGGAGGACGAGGAGGGGGTTAATAATAAAAAAAATTAAAGATTTTAATTATTAATTAATTGATTGATTTTTTTTTTTTTTTTTTAATTACAGATGAAATTGGAGATTTGGTAGTGAGAGACGTGGCGGATTTACTTAACACACAATATGCCATTATAACAGGTAATAACGAGTCCTTATTTTATTTTACCGATTGTTTGTTTGTGTTTGTTTGTTGTTTACACTTATTGACAAACAATTCGTCGTATTGAGGTTACGAGAATTAAGGACTTTAAACAAACAAACGATAGATCGATCGATACATCGATAAACGGGGCGAAGGGAAAAGTTTTCGAAATAGGATTCCATAGAGAAAGAGGAGAGGGTAGGAGAAAATGGGTAACCGTAAATGTAAATAAATAAATATGGCTGACTTGGGGTGAGGTGGGGGGAGGAGGAGGAGAGAGAGAGAGAGAAAAAATCAAAATGAAAATGGAGGAAGAGAAAAACTGGAAAAATATAAATTTCATGAATCCAATTTTTCTGTTTGTTTGTTTGTTTGTTTATTATCGATAACGTCTTTTGTTTCACTTTTTAAAATTCTTGTATTATTTAGCGAGAGAATGTCGTCGTGTTTGTTTGACTTATAAATATTATTATTATTATTATTATTATTATCGACGTCGACGACGATAATAATAATAATTAATGAAAATTTTAATTATTTCGTTAAAATAATAATTTTTTTTCTGAACATTGCAATATCATTAACGTGTTCGATTTGTGACGATGACACAATTAACGAAATTTTTTTCTTTGTTCCAATTATTATTATTATTTTTCCACCATTATCCATTAGATAAAATTTATTATCTGACGTTTATTATTATTATTATTATTATTATTATACGATTTAGTGCGTATGTGTGAGTGTGTTGTGCGTGCGTGTTCGAATTTTTTTTTTACTGGTGAGTTTTTTTTTTTTTTCGCGAAAATATTAAAAATTTTTTTTTTTTCCCACGTTCCTTGCCCACGCCATCTTTTTTTTTTTTTTTTCTAATTTATTTATTTATTTAAAAATTATAAATTATTGTTGTTGTTGTTGTCGTCATCGTCGTCGTCGTCGTCGTCAATATATATATGTTTAATTTATTTCAATCATTTATTTCACGACTGTGATAATAATAATTATTATGGCACGGTTACGTTTTAAACAAACGAATTATTATTATTATTATTATTATTATTATTATTATTATTATTATTATTGTTATTGTTTCTTTGTTCTTTACAACAACAACAACAACAAAAGCTAGAACAAAAAAGGTTGTTTTACGAACAAACGATTTTGTTTTTTCTTTAAAATTCAAAAAAAAAAAAAATATATATCTGTGCGTATATAATATTACTCAATTATTATTATTATTATTTTATTTCCCATTGTTTCATTATGCAAGAGCGTTACCACGAGTAATGCGTTACCGTAGTAATATTATTATTATTATTATTATTATTATTATTATTATTATTATTATTATTTCATTTCTTTTCTTTTCGTCTGTTTGTTTTATTTATAACATATATATATATATATATAAAGAAAACGAAAACGAGAGACGTCGAACAATGGTCGTTTTTTTTGTTTTTGTTTAAATTTTCTAGAATTTTGACTCTTTTTTTTTCGATTGTCTTTTCTCGTAGCGGAAATGAACAGGTTCGAGTTGTGAGTGTGACGACGACCTTCAATAAAATTACACGCGCACACGCACACCGCGTGTGTGTGCAATTGAATTAACGTTGAAAGACTTAAAATATTTTTGTTTATTATTATTATTTAGGTTTGCTCGCTCTGCGCCTGTTTGTTGTTGTTGTTGTTGTGTGTACGCGCGCGCGCCTTGATTTAACTTTTCAATGGCACTCGATTGTGTGGTATAATATATCTATTCGTTGACGATAATAATAATAATAATAATAATATCGAATGTTGTAATTTGTCGTCGTTCTTTCTATTCCCAAAAAAAAATGCGTTTGTTATTTCCTAGAAATCGACAAGCGAACAAACATACGAACGTTTGTTTTTTCTTTGTTTGTATAAATACGTACGTACATGGTCGGCATTGGTCGTCGTAATTTTTTATTGCCATAAAATTTGATAAAAACAAATCAATCGAACCAAAAATAAAACGTTCGTTAATAATAATAATAATAAAATTTACTCGTTTTGGAAATTTTAAGTTTTTAGTTTAAGACGTTTTCGCGGCGCCATGAATGTCGTAAATAATTTTTTTCTAGAAATTTACAAAGAAATTTATCATTTCTCTCTCTCTCTTTCTCTCTCTCTCTCTCTTTCTCTCTCTCTCTCTTTCTCTCTCTCTCTCTTTCTTTCTCTCTCTCTTTCTTTCTTTCTCTCTCTCTCTCTCTCTCTCTCTCTCTCTCTCTCTTTCCCTCTTGAAAAAGCGTAGCGTACGAATAATTTTTTGAATAGTTTAAAAGTCGTCATCATTTTACGAATTCGAAACACGCAATAATCGATAAATTAACCGTTATTTATCATCATCATCATTATTATCATCATCATCATCATCATTATTATTATCATTATCATTATTATTTAAATGGGCGTTTATTTAAAAATGTGTAATTTGTAATTTTTTCAGGAGGAAAGACTGAACACGGATGTCCAATAATAACATTTCCGGACATTGGTAATTTTTCAACGTTAGGAGATTTAGAATACCAAAGACTGATGGTTTATCTCACTTCGGTACCTTCGTGAGTACCTATTTTATTATTATTATTATTATTATTAACTTTTAGTAATTAAATGCGAAACTAACCGAAAAACCAAAGGAAAAAAATCTTCTATCGTTTTCTCTTCTTGCGAACAAGAACAAACGAACGCAAGTATTTTAACACAGATTAAAATTTTTCAGGCTTATGTAAAAACGATATCGTATTAATAATAATAATAATAATAATAATAATAATAATAATAATAATAATAATAATAATAATAATAATAATCTTCACTTATCAACGTAATAAATTTTTTTTTGCGACTGCTTTTGTTTTATATATTTTTTTTTAATATGTCGCCAGTCTATTATTATTATGGTCTTTATCACATCGAATCCTTGATTTTTGATGATTGCGTACGTGTCAAATCCTTCCCGAAACCAGACTTTATTATTATTATTATTATCATTATCATTATTATTATTATTATTATTATTGTTTTTGTTTTTTTTTTTTTACAGCATGCAGGAAGCAGACATTGGGTTCGTTCTAGTCATCGATAGAAGGAATGACAGATGGAATTCCGTCAAACCTACACTACTTAAATTATCCGTATGTTGTTAAAGTTTCCCCCCCCCCCCCGTTTGTTGTTTGTTTGTTCTGAACGCTTTCAAAAAATATGTTTGTTTGTTTGTTTGTTTATCGAATTAGGGTTATTTCCCGGGTTTAGTCCACGCAGTTTACGTCTTAAGGCCCTCAGGTATAATTAAAAAGACAATATCAGATGTACTCAATAAATTATTTAAGGAAGATTTTAAATTTAAGGTATGGGAAGTGTTTTGAATTTGAAAATGGGTACCTTCCCCACCCCCCGTCCCCCCACAAAAAATAAATAAATTTTTTTTTGTTGCAAAGGTTATCGTTTGTAATAGTTTAGAAGAATTACATTCTTACATAGACAAATCACAATTGACGTCTGATTTGGGTGGTTCCATTCAATACAATCATTCGGAATGGATTCGTCAGAGAGAAGATTTGGAAATATTTTCAGAAGAAATGAAACAAGTCTCGAACGAATTGGATAATTTCACGAAAAAAATGAAGGAAACGGAAATACCTAAACAAGCGGAAGCCGTGCAAGAACTTCTCACTTTGCATGTAAAAAAATTTTCTTTTCATCATTTAAAAATGAAGGATCGCACGATCATTATTATTATTATTATTATTATTATTAGGCCGAACGAGTTCTAAATAATTATAGATAACTCACACATAACAATGCCTGATTCAATTTTCCTTTTTTTTTTTTTTTTTTTTTTCTTTTGCTAGCAAAAAGAATATGGCGACTTGAAAGAAAAATTAAGGAATGCCGTGAAACATGGGGAAACGCTTTTGGAAATATTTAGAAAATCACAAAATTCAACGACGGTCAACGACGTAAACGCACAAGATGGAAATCAAAACGACAAATTTGGAAATGTTTCAGCCGTCGAAAGGTGAGTAATAATAATAATAATAATAATAATAATAATAATAATAATAATAATAAAGTATTAATTCGTCGCGAGTTTTCAATGACGTGAAATTATTTAATCATTCACTCATTATTATTATTATTATTATTATTATTACTTTGTTATAGAAAAAAACCAAAATAATCGAAATTGATAAAAGCGATACTTGTAATAATAATAATAATAATAATAATAATAATAAATCTAATTATAATTTTTAAAGATAATGTTATTAAAAAAACTTTTAAACTTTAGTTTAGTTTGATTATTGTGGTTTTTCCAAACGAATTTTTTAATTTTTTTTTTTTTTGCTGCGGTTAATGACGTAAAAGAAAAAAATTTTGGAGTAAAAATAAGTAAGGATTGGAATAATTACAGATTAATAGTTCAGCTGGAAGAAACGGAAAAAACATTTTGTTCTTTTCAAACGGATCATTTTACAAAATTAAAACAATGGTTGGATCGTAGGATATTCGAACAAGATGTCACGGAACTCGAAATTAAATTCGACGAATGTTTAAAGATAGTCAACGACATGGTCGAAGTTGGGGAGAGCGTGAGTCGAGTTGATGAGTTAATTAAAGAAACAAATGCTTTTCATAAAATTTGCAAGGTGAGATATTGATGATGATGATGATGATAATAAATAAGCTTGATTCTATAAGCATCTTCTGCTTCTTTGTTTTCATTCGTATGATTTTTCTACCGTGCGTTCACCTTTATTCTACACACACACGTGTGTGTGTGTTATTTGTTGTTGTTGTTATTTTGACATCCTTCACGTTTCACGTTATAATAATAATAATAATAATCATTTTTTTGTTATTTATAAAATAGTTCAATTACCTGTGGTATTATCCTAAAGGTACGCGTAAAAAAATTTGCGAAAAAAATTTTCGAATCAAATCCAAAACAAGGAAAAAATTTAAAATCGAATTTGTTGTTGTTGTTGTTAATGATAATGAAAAAAAAAATGTTTGTTTTTCAGATTAATATTGATAGAGGTGAAGAAGTTATATCGAACGGTCAAAGGTTAATTAAATCAAAATTATATTCGTCTGAAGAAACATTGCAACCGGATTGCGATAAAATTAAAAAACTTTGCACGCTTTTAACCGAACGTTTAGATTACAGATTAGATACATTGAAAAAACACAGAGAACTTCAAGAACAAATCGATAAAGTAAGTTGCTGCAGACGACGACGACGACAAATCGTGCGATCATAATCGAATTATTATTATTATTTATAAATAAATGGATTTCAGGCGAATTCGTGGTGTGCCAGAGGCATCGAACTATTGTCGAATCAACAAATCGAAAAAGCAGCCGGAGATGCCGAACTTATACAGAAAAGCATAACGGAAATCAATTTATTTTTGAACACATCCGAAAATCTTCGTTTGAACAGTCCGAAAAGATTATTCAAAGATAACATCATAACTCCCGAAACGAAAGCTTTAGTAACACAAGTAATTGATTGTTCTGGAACAAAAAAGAAATCCAAAATCGTTTGCCGGTTGTTAATTAATTTTTCTTGCAGGTCGTACAAAGAATAGCGGATGTAACTTCCATGTGTGATAAAAGATTGGCAAGTTTACATTTATTAACGGCAAATCGACAGAGGCCGGTACAAACGGTGACACCAGAACCAGGAGTACCATTACAACCCTCACACGGTGCTCCGATACTTAACAAACCGAAAATATTAAGAAAAGCCAACACGATTGCAAAGGTAACGATTTTAAAAAAAAAATCGTGGGGAGTGAAAGAATGTTCGTTAATTCCCCCTCGCCATTTTGTATTTCAGCTCGAAGATCCATGGAATCAAAGTAAAATAAATCAATGCATCGATAAGGATATACCGACGCAAGATCCTCAAATTCTAAAATCGAAAAGGCAACACATACTAGCCGAACTATTGGAAACGGAACAAATTTACGTGAACGAATTGCAATCCATAATTAAGGTTAAACATAATTTTATAAAAAATTAAAAAAAAAAAAAAAAAAAAATGGAGGATGTAGTTAAACGGTTTGTATTTTTTTCCAGGGTTACAAAAGGGAAATGGAATCCCCCGAAATGAAACCTTTAATACCTCCGGAATTAATAGGAAAAGGTGATGTTCTATTTGGCAACCTGGAAGAAATCTACGCTTTTCACAATGATATTTTTTTAAAAGATTTACAAAATTGCATTTCTACCACCGAATTAGTTGCTCTTTGTTTCACACATAGGGTACGTCATACTTATTGTACCCGAGCGTTGCTGTTGCTGTTGTTGTTGCTGTTGTTATATTTGTTGTTTTTGAATTACAGAAAAATGAATTTTATAAATTATATAGTTGTTATTGTCAAAACAGTCCTAAATCTGAACAACTCAGAGAATTGATAGGTGAAAGGAATTTTTTTTTCGGTGCTTGCCAAATAAAATTAGGACATAAATTACCATTAGCGGCTTATTTACTTAAACCCATACAAAGGATAACGAAATATCAATTGTTATTAAAGGTATGTATAATTGAAAATAACGAATTTTACGATGGGAGTTTTTATAATTAAGTCTTTTCGATCAACAGGATCTTCTTAGAAGTACGGAAATACCAAAATGTAGAAATCAACTTCAAGAAGCTTTGAAATGTATGTTGGTAGTACTGAAATGCGTAAACGATAGCATGCATCAAATTGCCATAACGGGATTTAGGGTAAGGGAAAATAATGATTTTTTCCGCCATTTTCTTTTTTTACCCGCGAATTTTGAAAACTGAATGAATTGCAGGGAGATTTGTCGGATCAGGGAGAATTATTAATGCAAGGTTCGTTTTCCATATGGACGGAGAGTAAAAAAATTAGAGAATTGAGATTGACGCCGATGCAGAGACATATTTTCCTCTACAGGAAAGCCATTTTGTTTTGCAAGAAAGAAAATAAGGAAAATAATAAGGCGACGTATCATTTCAAAAGATTTTTACAGGTCAGTTGATTGTTTGTTTGTTTGTTTGTTTTTTGGCGAAAAGAGAGGAAGATATTTATTTGTATTAATTCGACAGATGTCGCAAATCGGTTTAACCGAAAGCGTTAAAGGAGATCCTAGAAAATTTGAAATATGGCTACAGGGACGTCAACAAGTTCACACGATTCAAGCATCGACGATTGAACAAAAAATGGCGTGGGTACAACAGATAAAAGAAGTTCTTTTAGAACAATTAGCCGAACTTCGGGGTGCTAACATGAGACAATATTCGCAAACGAAAACTCCCATTTTGCACAGGTACCACGATTCACAATCATTATTATTATTATTATTATTACGAGAGTAGTATAGACTTTAGCCCAAATTTGGGGAGGGGGGGGTTAGTGGAATTTCTTTCACATCAACACTAATCATGTGACTTTTGACGTTGGTTCACAGAAAAGAAAATCTTCTTAAAACTCTCTATGAAAAATTTTGAATATCGATCGGGGGTCCGTGTATCGTTGGATGTCTGTTGGAAAACTTTGTAGAAAAGAAAAAAAAAAAAAAATTTTTTTAAAAGAAAAATTTTTCAGCGAGGTTAGATTTTCCTTTTTGTTTAAAAACTAACAACAACAGCAACTAACACTAACATTCTTCTCGCGTTGGGGGGTTCTGCAAAGGGTATGCAAGGAAAAAGAAAATTAAAATTTTTTTTTGTTTTGTGTGTGTAAAAAGGGCATTAAGACAAACGACATCTTGGGAAAGTCAGTCTTCCATGGATTCATCGGCCGGAAACAATAATCGAGCCTTTAGTTGCGACGAAACAAATTCTCACATACAAACATTGATTGAATCGGAAGAAGAATCCTCGGATTTGAGTAATTCAGACGATGAAAATCAATCATTCGGAGATCAAATTCTCGTGAGTCGAATTTAAATCGATAATCGATTTGACAATCGAATCGAATTTTTAACCTTTTTCCCCGTTTTTTTGACAAACAGGGCGGTCGATACGTTGTTTTAGCCGATTACAGATCTCAGGGACATAACGAAATATCTCTGCAGGAGGGTTCGCTGGTCGAAGTATTGAAAGTCGGTTGCGGAGGATGGTGGTACATAAAATTATTGGATTATTATTTTCAAGGTCAACCCATAGAAGGTTGGGCACCGTCAGCGTATTTAGAAGTTTGCAATAAGAAAAACAAGACTCAAAAAAATAACGTGACTCATATCATACAATAGGGGGAGGGGGAGGGGGAGGGGGGAAACAAAATAAAAAAAATCACGCCAAAGTTTAATCGATCGATCAATCTATCGAACGACGTATCGAACGATCGGAAATGTTTTTTTTTTATTTAAACAGGTATCGAACGATGACGTAATCGTTACGTAAAAGCTTCCAAATCAACAAATATATTACAAAACTTTGTTGAATATATATATATATATATATATATAAATTAATTTTTTTTTTTTTTTTTTTTTTTCGTGTGTATATTTTTAAAATGTGTAATTTATACTTAAAATAATAATAATTATTATTATTATTATTATTAAACGCGAAATTTATAATTAAGATAATTATTATTATTATTATTGTTAAACGCGCGAAATTTAGTTGTAGTTGTTGTTTGTATTAGAAGAAGGAAGAAGAAAAAACCTTAAAACCCAAAACGATGTGGGTTTTGTTAGCCCCGTTAAATAATTTTTTCCAATACGACGTAATAATAATAATAATAATAATATTTTTTGTCTTCTGCTAAAAAAAAAAAATTATGTAAACAATCGTGCATGCGTGAGTGTGCTTGCGTACATTCGATTAATTTAAAGTTTAACGAGTTTTCTGTCTCTCTCTCTCTCACTCTCTGTTTCTCTTTCTCTCTTTCTGTCTTTTTCTCTCTGTCTCTCTCTCACTCTCTCTCTTTTTCTCCCTCTGTCTCTCTCTCTCTCTCTTTCACTCTCTCTCTCTCTTTCTCTTTCTCTCTCTTTACCTCTCTGTATCTCTCACTCTCTCGACGCAATACAATCAATCAAAAATTAATTTTTAGTAAGAAATAATAATAATAATAATAATAATAATAATAATAATAATAATAATAATAATAGTAATAATAATAATAATAACGACGCCACAAATTAAAAAAACAAACAAAGAGCTTAATTTAATTAATTATTAAAATAACAAAAAAATTTAGAAATAATAATAATAATTTTAACACCTTATACGACATACGCAAGAAAAACAAAACAATGCAATAATAATAATAATATTAATTAATTAATTAATAATATAAGTTTGTAAATCGGAGACGAAAAAAAAGGGGGGGGGGATTTTTTTTTATACTATTTGTATATTTATTCAAAAAAAAATTTTTTGGAATTTTTAATAATAATATTAATAATAATAATATAGCGTAGGTGTTTTTATTAATTCTCGAAAAGTAGTCATAATAATAATAATAATAATAATAATAATGATTAATAGTTAATAAAAATAATAATAATAATAATTTCTGGCCAATTATATTAATGATAATAATAATAATAATCAATATTTATATAAAATTTTATTATTTATTATTTCGCAATAATACTAATAATAATATTAATATTAATAATAATAATAATAATAATAATAATAATAATGACGATGTAACAAACGGTGCATACATAATTTTAATTAATTTTATAATAACGAATTCGATTAATTTTAGTTATTACGTTTTTAATTATTATTATTAATTATTTTGAATTCGTTGAATGTTTTGTTTGTTGTTTGTCGTTTGTTTTTTTAACCGAGCTTTATTGTTGCGCTTTAAATAATAATAATAATAATAATTTGTATAATTGTTACTTTAACATTTTTTTTTTTTATTATTAAAAATGCCTAAAAAAAATTCTGCTTTGATTTATTATTATTATTATTATTATTACTATTACTATTATTATTATTATTGTTACTGTTACTTATTATTATTATTATTATTATTACTATTAAAATTAAAATTGAATTTTTTTTTTTTAACCCCTCTAAATTTTCCCTATAATCAAGTCCATCAAGTATTAAAAAATGATTTCAGGTTCGAAAAAAATAATATAATAATAATGATAATTAAAAAAGGGATTGTTAATATCGAAGCAGAATTTGTAATGATAATGATAATAAAATTAAATCAATTTTTGTCTTTTTTTTTTTAAATTTTTGACCCGGTGCTAGGGAAGAATTCGTTACCAAATTTTTTTTAAAGATTAATTAGTCGAGTTTTTAAATAAATAAAATTAAATTAAGTACAAATTAAAAGTAAGGAAAAAAATAAATAAATAAATTTTTTTTTTTTTTTACTTCTTGTATTTATTATTATTATTATTATTATTATTATTATTAGTTGTGGGCTAAATTAATTATACATGTATAAAATTTTTCTTTTCCGCCATTTTTTTTTTGATTGATTTAATAAAATAAGTTTTATATATGCATATATATAAGTTACAAAAAATAATTTTACGTTTTTAATAAAAATCAATTATTTATATTTAATTATTAATTTTATTATATTATATTTTATAAACTTACCTAAATTAATTTTATTAAATTATTTAAATAATGGAAACGTCAATATATCAATAAAAATAATTAATTAAATCGTTCAACGGTTAAAATAATAAAAAAAAAAATGGCGCCATAAAAGGTTCTGATTAAAAAAAAAAAAAAAAACGTTAAAATTTAATTTGTTTGAACCGGAAATGGTCATACTCTTCTCTGATTGGTTGATTTTTTTCATTGGCTACGAACGAAAATTCAAACGTTTCGAATGTTGGAATCATTCGAACGGGAAAGGCCGTAGAGTAAAGTAGTTTGTTTGATCGAATCAATTTTTTTAATTTTATATATATATATATACACATATATATTTTTTAAGTGCGGGTTCTGCGTTTGAATCTGTCGGTTGATGTTAATAATAATTTAATTATATATTTATTAAGTTTTTATTTATTAAAATTATTTTAAAAATATTTATTTATTTGTTTGTTATATAATTAAAAATCGAAAAAATGTCTGGTGAGTATTGTGTTCTTTTAATTATTTAAAAAAAAAAATTTTTTTTGTCACTCTTTCTAATTGACCTTGTCTGACCTTGATATTTTTCAAAAAGGTGTCGGGGATTCTTTAATCACTTTTTTTTTTTTTATTTAATAAATCCTTTATTTGAATGTTAAATATTTGTGAAAAGAGGTTTTTGTAATGTGTCTGAAAATCGTCGGTTTATATTTAAACGTGTTATTCAATGATTAAACATGTCAGAAGCTACGTCAAACTTGTCAAGAGAAAAAAAAATTTTTTCGTCATCGAATCAAAAAAAAAAAAAAAAGTTTTATGTATTTAATTATTAATTTATTTATTACATATTATCATTATTATTTTATTATTATTATTATTTTTTTTATTTAATTAAATTTTAATCCGGGAAAAATATCACGTTTGTATTTTTTTAACGTTCAATTATTAATTGAAAGTAATTCAAATGTGAAAAAAATATTATTATCATTATCGTGGAATGGCGACGCGCGCGACCGTTAAAAATTTTTTGAATTTTCAAATTTTCGAATGTTTCTTTTTCGTTAAAATCGATCGGGCGGGGGGAAGGGGGGGAATGCGTGAAGGGTTTTTTTTTCCCCGATTTCGTTTCGTTTTAAACTTTTAAATAATGATAATAATAATGATAATAACGCATTTTTAATGGGAAAAAAAGGAAAAAAAAACCGTTCGACAGGCGTTCGCACGTTATTTTACAATCGAACGTGTAACGTTTGTTTGTATGCGTACCAGAATTTTCTTTTTTTTAATAATTTTTTTTTTTTGTTACCGTTATTTAATTAAGCATCCTACGAAATAGAGTAAAGAAAAAGGAAAAAAAATTATTAATAATGATGATGATGATGATGATGATGGCTCACGAATTTTTTTTTTTTTTTTTTCTATTTTGAAATCTCGAATGAGAATCGATGACGTGTGACGTCAGTTGTTGTAATCTTGTAATTGTCGATCGAAATAAGGAAAATGTACGTAATTGATTAATTTTTTTTTTTTTTTTTTTTTTTTTTGGGCGAGTTTTATTGGGGGGAATAAATTAATTTTGGGTCAAAAAAATACTAAATGATAATAATAATGATAATAAATGAGGATGAACAATTTGACACATATAGTAGTCCGAAAAGAAAAAAAAATGGATCGAAAAGTCATCATCGTATTTATTATTATTATTATCGTGTATCGATATTTAAATAAAAAGTTTTAGTTATTTATTATTATTATCATCATCTCCGTCATCGTCATCATCATCATCATCATCGCCGCCATCTTTAAGGTTATTTTAAAAAAAAAATTTATATTTATATATATAAATACTTATTTATAAAGTTAGTTACGGATGAGTCGGATTTTTGTGTTTCGTCCAAATTTTATTTTTCGGTTTGTTCCCTCCTTCCCTCGGGATCCCCTTCCCTCACCCTCTTCCCCCCGACTCACTCCTCATTTTTTTTTTTTTTTTTTTTTTTTTGGAAGTTTAAATTTAAAACAAGATACAATCGTTGATGATGATGATGATGGCGATGGTTTGTTTTGAACGAGTGGAAAATTGTTCGAGACATATTGAAAACCTGTACGATCAGGAATATGATTTTCAATCATGGCGTCGTTGGTCGCTATGAAAAACGTTTTTTTGGGGGAGGGGGGAGAAGGGAGGTCGAGAGCCAATGGATTCGTCAGCGATAAGTTCAAACGCATGTTAATTAAAAAAAAAAAAAAATTTTTCGGATTCGTTTCTGTACCAAAAAAAAAGTCTTTGAAAATTTAATGGGGGGGCGGGGGTGATGTAATTTATAGGATCGTGGGGAGGGGTTTCGACTTGAAAAAAAAAACAAAAATTTTTTTTCAGGTTCGTGTTTTTTTTTACGGCAAGAGAATTCTTCACACGAAATTGTGACAATAAAAATAGTTTAAAGAATTAAAATTGATGGGGTGAAAAAAAAAAAAAAAAAAAATGAACGAGAGAATCAACGAACGAACGTTCAAATCAATAGCGAGAAAGGTGTGGCCCCCGAGGGGGATTGTTTTTTTTTTTTTTTTTTTTTTTTTTTTTTCTACCATTTCAAGAATTTTTCGTGTAACCGACGAAAAAGGAAAAAAAAAATCGTCGTCTTCTTCTCCTAATCTCTCAGACATTTTTTTTTTTAATATTCTTTACTTAAAGATAAAATAGATAATTTTTTTGGTAAAACGTTTCCAATTTTTTTTTTTTCATATTTATTTTAATTTTAAACGGGGAGCCGGTCCCTCTCTCTCTCTCTCTCTCTCTCTCGTTGATTTGTTCAAGTGAGAACGTTGAATAATTTTCGATCTTTAATCATTTATTTCTCTCTCTATATACACGCGTGTAATTTGGGTAGGTAAAAATAGAAAGAGAAAAAAAAAAGTGGAACGGAGCCCCCCTCCCCACTTCGTTAAATATTTCAAATTGAACGAAACAACCGACTTTGGAATTCGATTTAATTTAATAAAAATTTTTTTTCTGGTTCGACGATGAATTTTGTTTCTACAGGTTTTTTTTTTTTTTTTAATAGTACTTGATTTCTTCCCCTCCCCCTCCCTCCCCCTCTCCCTCTCTCTTTTGAACCTTTTCCTTTTTATTTTGGTTTCACATTTTTTACCCCCGGGCCCAAAACATTTTATTATAATGAAGATCTCTTAAAAATTGTAAAATTGTGTTTAATATTTCTTTTCTTTTCTTTTTTTTTTTTCCTCCCCCCATCGGATCATCAGGAGGTTATGCTTGGGTTACTCTCGCCACCAACGATTCTTATTCGCTGGGAGCTTTGGTTCTTGCCCACTCGCTGAAAAAGTCAAACACTTGTCACAAGTTAGCAGTTTTGATCACGCCAGCAGTGTCGCAACCAATGAGGTATGTATCACACACACACACACACACACGCACCAACGTCAATAAAATGAAATGAAATAATAACTACAGCAGCAGCAGCAGAAACAACAATAATAATAATAATAATAATAATAATAATAAATTTGTTGTTAAAAGATTGCGCAATCTTGCTGATAAAGTTTTCAAACGAGGTTTCAATGCATTCTTCTTCTTCAAAAAAAAAATTTTTTTTTACTTATTCATTCTCACCCCCTCCTCCCCCCCTATTTTAAGTGTCAGAACAATATCTGTGTCAATCTTATTCTATATAATATTTATAATGTTTGTAAAAAAAGAGTAACAAAATATATTTTTTATATGTGTGTCCTATAAAGCTTGGCAGGCATGCGGGCATCATTAATTATTATTATCATCATCAAATCATATTTAATGTTTAATATATATTTTTTTTAAAAAAATGTAGGGATCATAATCAATCAATAAAAAAAATTTATTTTTTATTTTTTTATTTTCAATTAATTGCCAAAGTTTTGTCAAAATGTTTTTTTTTTTTTTTTTAGGGAGCAATTGCAGACTGTTTTTGACGTTGTAAAAACGGTCGATGTTTTGGACTCCAAAGATGAAGCTCATTTGGCTCTTTTACAAAGACCCGAATTAGGAGTTACATTTACAAAAATACACTGCTGGAGGATGACAGAATTTGAAAAATGTGTTTTTTTAGATGCTGATACTCTCGTAAGTAGTAAAAAAAAAAAAAAGGCTCCTCTGAGATTTTTTTCTTTTTTTTTTTTTTTGTAATTTTAACGATGGCTATTGAAAATAATAATGGCTGACTTACTAATTGCGGCACACTGTGACTAGGTCAATGTTTATGTCGTCGTTTGCTAAATTTAAATTTACATTAAAAACTCTCTGAAATGCAAAAAAAAAAAAAAAAAAAAAGAGAAAAAGAAGAAAATTTTTGAATTATCGCCAGAACAAAAAAAAAAAAAAAAATTTTAAGAATAATAAAAACACGTCATTTCTGAAATTTTATGCTAAATTTTTTTTAATATTTTATTGCAGGTCGTGAGAAATTGCGACGAATTATTTGAAAGAGAAGAATTTTCCGCAGCACCTGATGTGAGTTGGCCCGATTGTTTTAATTCGGGAGTTTTCGTATACAAACCCTCCATGGAAACTTTTAACAAACTCCTACAATTTGCCGTGGAAAGGGGAAGTTTTGATGGTAAAAGAGAAATGAAATTTATTAGAATTGTAATCGAGAACCCCCCATTTTTTTTTTTTAAAATTTAACGTACGTTTTTTTTTTTTAGGAGGGGATCAAGGATTGTTAAATCAATTTTTCAGCGATTGGGCAACGGAGGATATAAAAAAACATCTTCCGTTTGTATATAATTTAACAACCGTAGCTGCTTATTCTTACGTGCCAGCGTTTAAACAGTGAGTTTCCTTTTCTTTTTTTTTTTTTGGGGGGAGGGGGGGGGCTCCAAACATAATCAACATGGTGGTGATTTATAAAATGTTTCAGATTCGGTTCGGATACTCGTATTGTTCATTTCATAGGCACGGGAAAACCTTGGCTCCAGCAATTGGATCCGACGACGAAAAAGATAACGCCGACGCCCGGATCGGAGCATTTAACTTCGCTCCTACAAAAATGGTGGGATTTATTTTGCGAGAAAGTTCATCCCAATTTAAACAAAGGATTGGTAAATATTGACAAAAAAATTTTTTTTTTTTTTGTTAACGTGTCAAACCCATAAAAAAAAAAAAAAAAAAAAATCTAACGACATTTAAACTTTGTAAAAATTTTCCGACGATCAATTAGCAGCACACTGCTGATTGTTCATCTGTGACTAAATTTTTAGTTTTAAATGAAAAGCATGAGATTTTTTTTTTTTTTAAAAAAAACCAAATGTACTTATGGTTTCTCTATCGCCATTTTTTTTTTTTTTAAACAGCAATAACATTAATTGAATTATGTATATGGTAAGTTATTACTAATGCTTTAGTTAACAATAAATTATTTGTTTTTTTTTTTTTTTAATTAAAGTTACAACAAAAAAAAAACGCAAAAAAAAAAAAAATAAAACTGAGTAAAATTTCTGTAAAACAATGTTAAAGGGGAAAAAAAAAAAAATTTTTTTAAATTTAACAACAAATACATGCGTTCGTACGTATGTATTTGTAAATGATAAATATTAAATTCTATTTATTTATTTATTTATTTATTAAGAAACCATAAGTATAGATAATAGGGACAGGTAAGAAAAAAAAAAAAAATTTTTTTTTCTTATATTTTTTTTTTTTATTATTTTTATTAATGCTCAAAGTTATCACACCAGATAAAAATTCTTTTATTTATTTATTTATTAATTTCCTTTCATTGCTATAGAAATTTTGCTCAGTTTTTTTCTTGTTTTTTTTTTTTTTTTTTTTTAAATGGCGCAAAAGGCCGAATTTTATTTTAAAAATGCCCAAGTAAAGAATTTTCAACATGGATCCCGTGAGTATTTTTCTTCTACTATTTTTTTTTTTTTGAAAATTTTGTGACACACAAAATATGATTTTGTCATTTATTTTTACTCGTTTGTCACCGATGGATTGATAGTTTTACGTATATTATTTAGTCGTTGTCACGCAATCGCTTAAATGTACCTATTTTTCTTTTTCTATATAACTGGGGGGATATCTTTTGGTATTATCGTTAATATCTTTAGATGAGGATTTATGACGTTTTTTTTTTTTTTTTTTTTTTTTTTTTTATTAGAAATATATAAATTTGTATAAGAAATTTTGACGAGAAAAAAAAAAAAAATTAAACAAGAATTGTCATTTTGAATCCTCGTTTAAAAGTTTTTTTTTTTTTTCAACTTTTATTATTAATCTTCTTATTTCTTCGATTTTTTTTTGTTTTTTTTTTCTTCTTGTGTGTTTGCGTGCATTTTTAGGACGTTGCTAATGGAATGTTGCATCTACCTTTAGAAGCGTGCTCTAATTCTTTTCCTGTTGATTGTAACGATGAATCTCGTAATCGAAATTTTTATGAGCCGCCTGTATCGTACCGAGAAATAAACGATTGCAGACAAATCAATCTTCCCTATCAACCTTTTGTAGTTAAAGGATCCTCTGGAGAATTTTTGAATATCGAGGGTTTTATTAATTCCATCAAACAACAACAACAACAACAACATGAAGAAAACGTTGAGGAAAAAGAGGATGGAAATTTGGATGAACGTGATAAAGAACAACAACAAAATATTGATTCTAATCATTATTATTATCATCATCAAAGTTCCGAAAATCATTACAATGCAGCGGATTCGAACAACAGCGAAAATCACTCGAACGGAGAAACGAATAATAACGAAGAACAAAATAAAGAAAATTTAGAAAATGTTTCATCGAACGCATGGGAGAATGAAAACTACGAGAAAAGTCCTTTTGATTACGACACGTTTTATCCGGACATTATTTGCATCAATAATTATTTGGAGCAAAATATTCTAAAGTACAAACCTTTCGATTTCTGCTACAGAAACGGAAAATATTATTACATCAGTAATAATAATAATAATAAATATAATTTAATTAATTATAATTACTTGGACGACTCTGATGAATTCGAACGAAAAATGTTGCCGAGATTTTTAACCATACCGGAAAATGATAAAAGACAAAGCGGAAACCGAGGGTTTTTTTATAAATTTTGGCAGACGTTCGGTAAAAGGGAAAAAAATAAATTTCCACCCGGTGATGACACTCAATGGAAACCGGAAAACTATTATTACTACAGTTTTTTAAATGATAATAATAAAAAATACTTATTACATAAATCGAAATCGCTGTCGCATTTATCCGTCGGCGAATACTCGAATTTCATTTCGGAAAATCAATCATCGTCATTTGACGTCTCGGATGATAATAAAAAATATTCGATGCCGAAATTGAAACCTCTTTTACCGAGACGTGATTCCTTTCAATCGAATCCGTCCGTTCATCCAAAGGTAACCCATTACACGGAATTCTTGATAAGTTCCGAGTACAAAGACCCGGAAAATTTACCCAAAGACAACGTTGGATTCGTTGAAAATCACATATTGAAACAAAGGGAGTTGAAAAGGAGCAAATCGGATGCCGATATCTTGAATAAATTCGGACCTTTACCGTATGGCTCAACGACTGAAAGAGAAAGAAAACCCGTTGCTGCTCCTGCTGTTGTTGTTGTTAGAAAAAAAGAGCTTCAAAAACACGATTTGCAAATTTACGATATTAAAAATTGCATGCGTCAAATGGGTAACAAACCGAAAATATCAGATGACTCCATCACCACAACAATGAGAAAAAGAAATTTCACGACTCAAAAATCTGCATTACCTAAAAATTCGGGTAATTTTCAAAAGAAAAAATATCCGAGAAAACCTTTGTTCACGCTTGGTGGAGACGATGAAAAAAGAGAAAAATATAAAAAAGACAGTAAAATATGGAAAAAGTTAAAAAAAGAAAGGAAGCACGGAGGAGGGGTAGGAGTAGGAGGAGGAGGATCGTTATCGACTTTTTTCGAATCCAATCAAAACGTGCAAGCTAATAACGTAAATGTTATTTTAGATAGACTTTTCGAATACAGTAAAAATTATTTGCATTATTTCGAAGAAGTTAACAAGAAAAATTGTCGTAAAAGTAAAATCGTAGAAAAAAAATCAGAGTCCGACAAGGAAAGAAAAGAAAATGGTACCTGTGAAAATTTATTAGTGATGACGGAACTGTTAAAAAAATCGGGTAAAGATTCTGCGAAACCGAACATCGAGTTCGACAAAGTGAGTAAAAGCTCAGAAAGGAGTAAGAATAATGAAAATGGCGAATGCCTTACAACTAACGGGGTGGAAAAAAGTGAAACGAATAAAAATGGCGGAACTCACGTGAAAAACGATAAATTTAAAAACTTTAAAAATTACATACAGGGTCAGTTCGAAAGCGCTCAAAAAGGTTTTACCGAAATTTTGGAAATCGCGGATAACGGCGTAAACGAAGATAAAAAACAAAATATTCTTTTCAAAAAAGGAAAAACAAACGAAAATGTCAGGTTGATTTCTTACAGGAACGCTCTGTGTTGTAAGGGAAAAGACCAAGAGGAATCCGTCGACGTCAGCGACGACGAAATTAAATTCACGGCAGAAACTTTTCCAGTGACTCCACTTCCGTTGACCAATGGACGGTTCAATCCTATGGAAGAAATGTTAAGTGAATACGATTATGAAATCTCGGGTGCTTTACGAGCATCGTCTTCAAAGAGTCCGACAAAACTTGGAAAAGGGAAACGAAATGGGGAAATTACAGAAGACAAGAACAACGACGTTAAGAAAAATGGTTTCGAGAAGAAGGTGGAAAATTCCGACAATTATCGAAAGGTTAACGGTGATGTTAACCGTGGGAACAAACATACGAAAACGATCAACGGAATCGATGCTGTGGAAAATTCCATAATCGACCGTAATCACATCGTAAACGTCGAAGAAAATCAAAATAAGAAGAAAACATGGAACGTTGGATACAAATCAGAAAAGTCTGGAAAATTTCACGTCAATAAGGTTGAATCCGCTGCTAATGTTAAACGAACGTCTTCGAAATCCGTTACGACGAACGGACCGTTAGGGAAAAATTGTCATTTCAAAAAAGGAATTAATAATAAATTCGAAATATTATCAATGGATTCTCCAGAGGGAACCGTTAACTTTACAAAAGGTAAAACCCATACCGGTAGGAAAGGACCTAGAAAACCTGGTAAAAATTTGCTTGCAACCACGACTAACAGAATCGCCGACGATATTTCGCAAAATGACGAGAGTAATGGCAACGATTTAAAAGGTGGAAATAATCGTTTGGAGGAGGATTCGAATTTTGACGTAAGTATTTCAAATTTAAGGAACAACAGGAGAGCCGGTGACGTCAGAAGTAAGGTTGCTTCGGTCTTGTGCGCCTCATTCATTTTGTTTTTTTTTTTTTTTTTTTTTTTTAATTAAAAAAGAAACACATCTCGGAAACCATCCATTTTTATATAAATATTTCTTTTAGGTGAGAAATTTGATTCTTCTCGGTTGTCTCCTTTGCGAATTTTTTTATTTTTGTTTTACAAATTTGGATTTACTTACCGAATGAATAATAATATATATATATATATATAAACAAACGAAAACACACAATTTCCGGTAATGAAGGGTAAATTTTATTTAAACAGTTGATTGTTCATTTCCGGTTGCTTTTTATTTATTTATTTATTTTGCATTCTTGGTGAGAGTTTTTAGAAAAGAAAAAAAATGGGCGCTCGTGTTGTTTGTAGAAATTTTTTTTTTTTGGGTGTTGGTAGTGTGAAAAAGTAATGCTCGGCTTGACCAAGTTTTAAATTCTGGGAAAAATGTAGGGAAAATTTTAATTTAGGGAATTTAATTCGATTGCCCGAGGGATGAATGGGGTTTTCTTATTGATTTTTATCAAGAGGCGACAGTAAACGATAGCAAAACAGGGAAAAGGTCGGTAATTGCATTTCCTTTTTTTTTTTTTTTTTTTTTTTTTTTTTTTTTTTTGAAATGTGTGTTGTGTGTGCTTAGCTTAGCTTTGATTAGTATGATGATAAATTGCTTGCATTTTTAGACAGCTTCTTTGTTGTCTCACGAGCATGAAGTTTTTTATTTTTTTAAAAAATTTTTTAAACCGATTTTAACATTGTAAAATAATTATAATAATAATAATAATAATAATAAAAAAGTTTAATTTCGGGAGTACGTGTGGGAATTTTCCCGGACGAAAAGACGACTAATATAATTTCGTATGTTTTACAGTCTGGAATAGCCGGTGCCATCGCTCAACTCAGTCTTGAATCCGGCGGAGATTCCAATTCGACCGCAGCAGCTTCATCCGCACATCAGGAATACATAAGACGTCAAAATTGGGAAACCGGAAACATGGATTACATGGGAAAGGATTCATTTGATAATATTTGGTCTAAAATTTGTCAGACAATCGAAGATAAGGTAAAGGTTCAAATAAAAAAAAAAGTTATTTATAATAATAATAAAAAGTAAACTGGAAAGGAAAGGAAAGGAAAGAAAAGGGAAAAAAAGAAAGAAAGAAAGAAAGAAAGAAAAAGGAAAACGCAATTTTAAAATGTCATTTTGATTTATTAATTCGCGAGCTCTCGCTAATCATTGCGAAATCGTAATAGCTATAATAATAATAATAATCGTCTTCTTCGTCTCCTTCTTCTAACGCCTCGTTTTAAATGTTTTGCCTTTGCTCTTAATGAATAATCATTAAAGTTAATGATAATGATAATAATCGCCAAGTTTACAACGACAAAAAAAAGTTCAAAAAGTTAATCAGTAATATTATTATTATTATTATTATTATTATTATTTTAGATTTTCGGTTAACGGTTTAGTTTAGTTTAATTGGTAAATCGTGTAGAAGAAAATTTTTGATAATAACCACCGCATGAGAGGTTTTTTTTTTTTGTGTGTGAGCGTTTTTTTTTTTTGTTGAGTTGCACTATTTTGTTTTTCAGGCACAACCTTCGAAACCTCGCGAAGAATAATAATTATTATTATTTAAAGGTAATTTTTAAAAATCATATATAATAATTATATACACATACACACACACACACGCTCCTGCTTTTTTGCATCATCATTATCATTATTATTATTATTTTCAAATGGTGCTATTTTAAATATAAAAAATTAATTTGTTTTAAAATCAATGTAGGTTTATTATAAATAGCATCAGTAGTTTAAACCGCTTTAGCAAAGTTCATGTTTCAAACAAAATAAAAAAAAAAAAAAAGGTTTGATTTTAATTTTATAATTTTTTTTTTTTTTTTTTTAATAATTTTCAGGCATTAAGAGATGAGATGGAAAATTCAATGGGAAACGTAGATGTGAATTCGAAAAAATCCGACTCAAATGAATCAGTTGTTGTTAAAACTGAAAACGAAATTAATGGAATCAAAATTGAAAATTTACCTCCTTGCTTGATCGAAAGCAAAGAAAAATCATTAAACGAGCCAAATCATCAATCGAAAACATGCGAAAATGGGAAAACGGTCGAAAGTCACGTGACGAGCGATCTCGCGAATCTCTCGGGAAAAACATCCGCGTCACGTGATGATGACGTGTCTAACAACAAGGCAACTTCGGCACCTGTTCAACCGGAATCGAATGTTGTGCCGGAAGCAACTGGAACCACTTCTCAAAGTGGACCCGGCTGTGTCCAACCTGCTCCTCCGGTTTCTCAATCGTCTCCTAATTTTCCACAGCAAGTGTCCATTATAAAAACTCCACCCACTCCGGATGCATTAGCGGAAGGTGATAAAAATAATTTTGAAAATGACAATAGCGAAGAAAAGGTTGAAAGTGTCTGTGATAGCGATAAACCAAAAAATGATCAAACCATTACTTCTCCTCCTGCAACTCCGGATACGAGCGCCGTCGTGCCTTACTGTGATGTATTTCAACAAGTTAAAACAGGTGGAAAACACGAAGACAATCATCCGACCCCCGCAGAACACAGGAAAAACGTTGAAGAAACAATTAAAAAACAAACGGAAGCAAAATCACCTCAGTTTCCTCCGATACCCTTGCCGGAAAGTCCGACAAAAGTCGTTACGGATTGTTTTGCGATGTCTACTGCTGTCGACTCGTCGAGCAAGGGAGAAATGGAAAACGAAGAACCCTGTCAGAAAACATCTCGATCAAACTCGATTAAAGAAGAGGGAAAGTCAAAAAAGGGAATGATATCTAAAATATTGGAAATCGTGGGAGTGAGTCCGAAAGATAAAAAAGAAGATGAAAACGGGACGCCCACGACGGTTTTCTACGACGCACCGCAACAAGAGGAACAAAAGGGAAATAAAAAAAACTCGAATAAAAAACAGGACAAAGGAAAAAAAGAAACGGACAATGGTTCCCAAAAATCCCAAGTCAAATTACCCGAATCGGAAAAATCGAATAAGAATGGAGAAGATTCGTCGGGAAGCAATTCGAGCGAACAGCAAGAGCAACAAAAGCCGGGTAAAAAAAATTCGAAGAAAAATAAAGGAAAGGGATCTAAAGTCCCGGAGGAAACAGCGGAGAAAAAGGAGTGTCCGTCGGTGGAAAAACTCGAAGGTGAAAAAAAATCAATGAATGAGAAAAAGGTAGACGATGTGAAACCGAAAATCCCGCAAACAGCACCCGTTTCAAAAGATGATAGTCAAAAAAAAAACTTGGTGGAAAGTAAAATAATGGATGAAATAGATACGATATTAGACAAAGCAAAATCAGTGGTTCAAAGTCAACTGGAAGAACAGGGTATCCTCGGCACTCAATCTTCCGGACAAGAAGTCGGGAGCTTGATGGCGGCACCAAAAGAAGAAACCAAAGTCGACGAGCAGATGCAAAAGGACAACAAAAGTTCTTCTCAACAACAAGACAAACAAAAACAAGGCGGCGAGTCGAAACAAAAAAAACAAGATTCGCGGAAACAAGGAGCACCTGCACCACCTCAGCCCATTCCGACGGGCGACAATACGGTGGAATGCGAAGAGTTGAAAGTAACAAGCGAAGAAGACAGAAAGAAAAACAAATCGCAACAACAGCCATCTTCGAAATTGTCCGATCAAATTTTGAAAGCGATTCCACCGCCCCGAAGGAAAGCGATATCGGAATCTAAAGCAGAAGCGGAAACGGAAACTGCAACTTCCGCTTCGAAATCAATGCCGAACACTCCCGTCGCCCCAACAACAACAACAACAACAGCGGAATCGAAGGGCCAAGAAGAAACGAGGAGCTCGCCGGAAGAAACGACATCATCCGATCAACAATCCGCTACCGAACCCCAACAGAAAGGAGGTTCAAAAGGAAAACAAACGAGTGGTCCCGTACCGCCGCCTAGAAATCGATCTAAACCCGGGCCGCAGCAACAACAGCAAAATCAAGGTCATCATAATAATCAAAAAGGAAAACAACATGGCTCGCATAAAAAGTAATTTTTTAATCAAATTTTGTTCGCTCCCGATGTTGCCGCCGCCGTTCTTTTCTATTTCGAGAGAAAATTTGACTGAAAACAAATAATAATAATAATGATAATAATTTATTACTCTCCTTTCCCCCTTCGTGTTTCATCCCCCTTTCCCTATTTATCTTTTCCTCCTCTTTTATCGCGCTCTAGTCGTATTTCTTCGCACGCGAGAGAGAAGGAGAGAGAGAGAGACAGTCTATGTAAAAAAAAAAAAAAGTGCCTTAACACAATAATGATGATAATAATAATAATAATGAAATTGTTACTTAAAAAAAAGGGAAAAAAATTGTTTTAATGATTAATATGTTATTTTAACACGTTAAATGATTTTTGGTTTTTAATTTTATTTAATATTTATTTTTAATATATACATACATACATATATATATTTTCGTATTGTTTTTAATGTAAAATGAATTATTGATTTATGCTATGATTATACGAAATGAGATTTATTTGAGCTCTTTTTACGATTTATACATGTGTTACTATTGTTTTTTTTTTTTTATATATATTAAATAAATTACGTTTAATATTTATTTTATTATAATAATAATAATAATGAAAATAATTTTTTGTTTTATTTTTCTCCAGTGAAACACATTTTGCCGGAGACCTGGAATTTTGTGTTTGTTTTTGTTTTTCAAAAGGAAATTATTCGTTAAGGAAAAAAAAAGGAAATTATTTTCGCTTGTTTGACAACGACGACGATGACCTTGATTTATATTTATAATTAATTATTATTATTATTATTATTATTAATAATTTTATAAAAGCGAGAGTTTTTTTTTCCGGTGTGTTCGTGCGCGTGTGTGTTATCAAAAGTTCTCGGGTCACGTTCGACGTGAAAAGATTATCCGCGAAATGCCTCAAACTTGGTCGCCTATAAGCACCCATACTAAAGTTTTCTCCCTGTGTGCTATCAATATTAATTATTATTATCATTATTACTAGTATTAATAGTATTAGTATTATTATTATTATTAGTTTTTAATGTCGATAAATTTTCACTTACTTGTATTCCTTATATTCCAGGTTACTTACCATCATCCTGATCCCTTAGGAATGAAAATACCCGATGAATGATGAATAACATAAATAGTAACGAATTATTGCAAGTCTTCCTGTAATCCCGGACGGGACTCCTGTACTAACAAAGATGAAGAGACAAAAAACGGGATGATGACGAAACGAAACGAGGTAAAACATTACCGTAATTTCTCTCTCTCTCTCTCTCTCTTTCTCTCTTTCTCTTCACCTAATTTGTGTCCTAATTAATAAAATTCATTACCCCCCCCTCTCTCTCTCTCTCTCTCTCTCTCTCTCTCTCTCTCTCTCTCTCTCTCTCTCTCTCTCTCTCTCTCTCTCTCTCTCTCTCTCTCTTTCTCTCTTTCTCTTCACCTAATTTGTGTCCTAATTAATTATTTATCAATTTCCCATCACCCTTTTCTCCTCATCCTCCTCTTCCTACTTCTTTCTTCTCTCTTTTCTTCTCTTTCCCCCTCTTGCGAGTAAATATAAATTAATTTTAATTACGTAACAAACAAACAATGTTTGCAGATTTAAAAAAAAAATTGCGACCGACTGACATAGTTTTCTTTTCTTCCCCTTTTTTCGTTCGAATCTTTGTCTTCTTTGTCTTTTATTCTAAAGGTGGTAGATGAAAAATTTTCACACGGGGGGAGTTAAAATTGTTCATCCGTAACGAAACGAACCACCATCGAAAAAAAAAAAATTAGACAAATGGTGACATGATGATGACCTTTCGGGATTAAAAATTATTATTAACATTTTATAATTTATTACTCGACGATTCCCGAATTCTACGAAAAAAAAAAAAAAAAAAAAAAATTGCTGAGCTTTGGGATTGTTTCATAAAAAAAAAGGGGGGGGAAAATTGTCGAAATCCTGCATCCGGTGGGGATGGGGGCGAAGGGTAGAACAAGCAATGCTTCGTTTTGTACTATCATTTCAATTTTTAACATCTCCTCTCTCTCTCTTTTTCTCTCTCTCTGACACACACACACACGCATATTCGCAAACTTTTAGCGAAAATAAAAATGGCGACAAATTTACGATTCGTTTGACCCGAAAAAAAAAAAAAATTTGATTTATTTTAAATTAAAAACTATTTATAAATTTTTATACTCGCGTCAACCTGAAAACGTCAGAAAGACAAAAAAAGTCACGTGATTCGCGTTTCTCTCTTTTCCATCCTTGTTGGTTGACTACACGTCCGCCCCCCCCCCTTCCGTCTATTCTATCAACTATCCATCCAGACCTAGTTTACCGACTAAATAAAAAAAAAAAAAAAAAAAAATTTACAGGATTTTATTATGATGTTATTGTTGTCGGTTGCAAACGCAGACAAATACAAAAATGCCGGAAAGAAAACAAAACAAAAAAAAAAAAAGGAAAAAGTAAAATAAAACGACGACGTCCTTCGAAAAAATTCGATTTGACAAGTAAAATAATAAAACGAAAAAAAAAAAAAAAAAAAATTTTAAACACACTTTTCCCGATCATTATTTCAACCATTTTAAAATGTTTAGCAATCGTACGAGACCTTTTTTCGCGTAAAAATGTTTTTTTATTATAAAAGGTCTTTTCGTTGTATAGAATTCAATCAGTCGTTAGTTGGATTTCGTACGTGACGTTCGACGACCGTTACTTTTTTTTAAAATTTAAATTTAAACGAATATTTTTACTTTTTTTTTTTTTTAAAACAGTTTTATAATTTTAAAAGTTTTTTTTTAAAAAGAAAAACATTTAAGTGATTTAAAAAAATTTTTTTTTTTTTTTTTCAAGCCGGGAAATATTTTTTTGAAAATTACCACATCGAGAGTTATGCGCAAAGACTGTAAAGATTGTTTAGGTCTTAGAAGGTGAGTTTTTTCAATTTTTTTTAAAATCTTTTTTTTTTTAAAAGGGAAAAATGTAAGAAAGATAATCGCCATATTGTTTTTTTTAATAAAAAATTTCATTAATCCATCTCTCGTAAGGTAAACATGAAATGCATTAAATGCATTAGAATAATGGAAAAAAAAAACCGTTAGAGAACATTCTAGAATCAAACGATCAATCTTCATTTTTCCCCGAATCGAATCGAATCGGAAAAAAAAACGACATTTTCATAACGTTTTTAAAATAAAATTATTACTGATAAAAATCCTTGCTTGAATGATGATTGTGAAACCAAATTTCAAATCGTTAAATTAAAATTATCTTTTTTTACAATCTCACAATCGCCGCCGCCGCCGCCGCCATGTTGTTTTTTTCCTTCTTTATCTTTTCGAACGAGAATTAAACGAGCCACACAAAGTTTGTTCGTTCGTTTGACGATTTTTTTTTTTTTTTTTTTTTTTCGTCCTTGACTTTATAAAAATAAAAATTTGTGGACTTCACCCTCATCGTAGATTTTTTTTTTTTTTTTTTATATAGAAATTAATTTTCGATTAGATTTGAAATGGTGACCCTTGGTCTTTGTTATATAAAAAAAAAAAAAAATTTTTTTTATCGTTTGAAAAAAGCGAGAATTTTCGTTTTAAAATAATAATCATAATGTAAATGAAATGATCGTCCTTCCCCTCGAACATTCTCGAAAATTCTTTTTTTTTTTTTTTATTAATTTTGATGTTTTTTCTATTTTTGTATAGGAGAACTTCAACTTTGCATCAAACTTGGAAGTGGTTACATCAAACAATTGCCCTTCACGACCATTTAATCAAGCTTATAAGTAGCTCAACTTCGAAAATCGATCAATTTTCATTTTAGGAAAACAAATAAATAAAATTTCTATAAAAACATTTTTAAAAAAAAACTTGATTGACATTTAATTAAATAATAATTGTGCGGCTTCATATTAAAAAATTAAATAAAAACTTTCGCGCCAAAAAAAAAAAAAAAAATACGTAGAAAACGACGACTGACTATCTACTTACTCTTGGCAACAAAATAAAAACTTTTTATTAAAAGAAGAAAAATTTGCCGGAATAAAAATTATTTCGTAATAAAAAACGCGTAGGTAATTAAAAAAAAATTTACGCCATATTTGTAATAATAATAATAATAAAACGCGATTTTATTATTTTTTTTCGAGAAAGAGAAAGAAAGGGAAAAAAATTCGAATCAAAAAGTTTTTAATTTGATTAACGTAGACAATGGCATTCGCGTTGTGTATTAAAAACGTATCGAAGATTGAATGCATCAATCGTTTGAACCGTTTTTTTTTTACAAGTAAAAAAAAAAATGGTACCCGCGACATTTTTACTAGGAATATATCGACGGAGAAAAAAATGAAATCGGGAATAACGAAAAACGAAGATGAAATATTAAAATCCGTATTCGTATCACAATCTAATAATATTTTCACTAACCTCGCCATTGAAGATTGGCTTTATAGAAACACGGATTTTAACAGGCATCACGTTCTTTTAATTTGGAGAAATTGTCCGACCGTTGTCGTCGGACGACATCAAAATCCTTGGCTCGAATCGAACATGGGGTATTTGGCTGAAAATGGTATCGATGTGGCAAGGAGAAATAGCGGAGGTGAGAAATTATGAGATGAAGAGGAAGCCATTTTGTTATATGCCATTTTGAGCAACCTGTTTTCAATTGTTTTTTTTAATTGATTTAACTTGTTACAGGTGGCACGGTTTATCACGATACGGGTAATCTTAATTTGAGCTTTTTCACACCGAGAGAAAGATACAATAGAAAACACAATCTGCAAATAATAACTCGTGCTTTGAAAAAAGAATGGGATTTGAATGTTGATATAACGGACAAGGATGATTTGATTTTGGATAATCGCAAAGTGTCTGGAACGGCGAGTAAATTGGGAAGACCGAACGCTTATCATCATTGCACCCTTTTAATCAATGCCAACAAATTGAATTTGAAACAAAGTTTGAATGCGAACAGAGTAAGTAAGGTTTCATTTTTTCATCGATTTGCTAATCAAAATGTTGATAAATCAGTGACGGATTCAGACAAAATCGTTATTAAATTGATATTCATGTTCAAACACACACACACACACACACAAAAACCTATAACCCCGATGACAGAATTTTATCTTGATTATATGTTGCATAACATTTTATAAATTTAATTGCATGTATGTGACATGTTATGAATGTAAGAGAGAGGTTAATCACCCAAAATGTCTCTTTTGCAAATATTTTTAACATGAAGTGATTGTTTTAAGGCAAACACAGTCAGTGAAGGATATTAGTTCAATCAACTTTAAGGAACATTCGATAAAAACTAAAGTCCTTATCAATTTCATTAAATATTTGTAATTATTGTCTTTATCGAATTGATGAATTATTTCATATCATTATCATTATTATTTATAAACAATTTAATTAAATTAAAAAAAAAAAAAAAAATTAATTTTTGTAATCCGACTGCTCATTGCCATGTTGAATATTATTAATATAAGTATTATTATTATTATTACTGTTACAGGATGGATTTGAAACGAATGCAACCAAAAGTGTGCCTTCACACACGAAAAATTTAGCTGATAATAATGATAATATAAATTTTGAACGTTTGCTTAATGCAATCGGTTGGGAATATTTGAGAACAACAGCTCTCACTCTTGAAGATGGTGGAAATGAATTGATAGGGAAACAAAGGGGATTTCAACTCATCAATCCTACAGATCAATGGTTTCCTGGTAAGTTTTTTCATTTCATTATTATTATTATTATTAATATCACTCGTGGTTTCATTATCATTATCATACATACGGTTATCATTTTGCATTGCAGGTTTGGATAAAATAAGAGATGAATTTACAAGTTGGGAATGGAGGTTTGGTAAAACGCCCAAATTCACGGTTACAAAATCATTTCCCATATTTGACGATCCAGCTGAGAAAGTAAACGGTCACAATTTGAAAGTGACTCTCAAAGTTGAAAAAGGAATGATAGCGGACGTGTCGTATCAATTGCCGGAAAACAAAACGGGTTCCGTTTCCCCCTGCTGTCGCGACCTTCTATCAAATTTGTATGGGAAAAAATTTTCATCACAAACGTTCGATTTGATTGAAAAATCATTGAGTTTCGACGAGAAAAAAGAAAATATGAAAACGGCTTTGAGAGCATGATGGGAACAAGAGAAGGCTCGACGGGAAGATGTCCCATTTGAATTTGTTACTCCCGTCTGCTCGGAGTCGGAAAAAGACGAGGAATTTTCCGACATTGTTAATAAAATACGATTTGAATTTCAATCGTCGAATGATTCTCCTTCTTACAACTTGGAACGTTTAAAATCCTAGTGTCGACCTCTTGCGGAAATGAAAATAAATAGCCGAAGAAAGGGTGGGAGGGAGAGAGAGAGAGAGAGAGGGAGGAGCATGAATAAAAGTCAGGTTCACCAACACAACAAATTTTTAAAAATTACCTGGAATTCATCTTTTTTTTTTTTTTATTTGTTTCGTTGCAAACATTCACGACTCCAGGAAAGATAATTTTGCTTACGTCACACAAATTCAAATTTAACGGTTTTCCCCGCCCACCTCTCCTTTTCCCTCCCCTTCGATCGTTTTCTCCACATTTTCTTTCTCTCGTGAAATTTATACCATCTTTCTCTCACGTCGAAGCCTTCTTAATAAAATTTCATTTATTATTAATTATTTTTTTTTTTAATTAGAAGTAAGAAAATAATAATAATAATAATAATTGCTCAAAGCGTACGGGAAACCATTTTTTAAACGCGCAATGACGCGTTTGCTATTTTATGTACATAAAATATATATGTATATATACATACACACACATAATAATAATATTTACTATGTTATTATATTATTATTGTTATTATAACGATAATAATAATAATAATTTTAGGGGTGAAAAAATCATAAAAAATATTTTAAAAAATTAGTCGAAAAAATTATGTATATTGGTGATTGTATTTATTTTAATTGTTGGGTTATAGGGGATGTTTCGCCCTATATTATATATATTATAATTTATATATATATACATACGTCGTCGTATATTACGAATTAATTTTTATTTTGTCATTTTTTTCTTCTTACGCATATATATAGTCGTGACGTAGTTGATAAAATGTAAAAAAAAAAAAAAAAGAGGCTTTTTTTATCTTTGGTTTTTATTATTATTATTATTATTATTATTATTTATATTTTATTGTTGGTTTGTAATTAAGTTTATGATGATAATTGAAGGAGGAGGAGGAGGAGAAGAAGAAGAAGAAGATGAAAGAAAATTTATATTTATTTTTTATTTTTATTTAATTTAATTTAATTTTTTTTTTTTTTTTTTTTTTTAGTTGCCAAGAATATAATCATATCATTTATTTTATTTTATTTTATTAATTTTAATTATATAATTTAATTTTTAATTTTTTTTACTTTTTCTTTTTTTTTTTGTTTTTCTTTTCTTTTCTTTTCTTTCTTTTCTTTTTTCTTTTTTTTTTTTTTTTTTACTTTCCTTTCTTCGTACGCGTTAAATTTAATTTTTTTAGTATTTTAATTTACATGTATAAAAAAAAAATAATAATAATAATAATAAAAGGGGGAAAAAAAATTTGGGTTAAAAAGTGCCTTTATTATCATTATTATTATTATTATTATTATTGTTATTATTATTAGTTTAATAATACGTTAATTATGTACATATGTATATTTTTTTATAACATTGTAATTTTTTTTTTATATTTTTGTAACGTAATGTTAAGTTTATTATTATTGTTATTATTATTGTTGTTAAGTGGAAAGTGGTGACGTGCGCGCGCTCAAACGATTGTTTTTTTTTTTTTTTTTTGAAAAATAATTTATGAGGGATTAGGTACGATATGGAAAAGTACGAGGTAGGTAAAATTATTATTATTATTTTTTTTTTCTCTATGAAAAAGTTTCTTTTTTTTAAACAAAATTTTCCAGTATTTGTTCCAGGTGGATTTGTTCCTTCAGGAATAATCCAAATATGCAAATAAAACCTGTAAGAATTGTTTTAAGAATTTTCCCGGAATGGATGGGAACTAAACTGGACTCCGGTGTGATAAGAACATCAAGCAACCGGGAGTAACCGGGATTAAGGACGAAGAAGGAATAAAATAAAAAGTTAGTATTAAATTTAAATAACGTTTTTTTCTCCAGGAATTTTTTTTTTTTTTTTTTTGATGACGTAACGCAAATCTCACATGCGTATATTTAATGATAATGATAATAATTGGTCCGATAAATTCAATTT